TAAATATTTGGTTACAATTTACTCGTTACTAGATGTTTTAAGTTGAATTTGGTAATCTTGTGATTAGCATTAATGCATAAAATCTAGTTGTGTTATCTGGATTTTCTTTGCATATAGCATTTCATGCTGCATGAACATTAGAACATTGGCGATAATACAATAGCTTTGTATGACCAGAACTGTTCTGGCTTGACCAGCACCTGGGTTGAAGGTGAGAAAGGAGGAAGGCTCAGTAGAGATTTGGTCAGAATAGAAAGTTATTGGTTTCCTTTAGGGGAGTCTGAGATGATAGGACTGGGAAGAATCCTAAAACCTTTTATAAGCAGTCCCAGCTCAAAGCCAGATGAGACAGTTGGGTTTTTTTTGTTGTTGTTGTTGTTAACTATTTAATTAGCTTTTACTTTTTCAAAAGTTATAACTCTGATGCAGTTGAAATGCCATCCCCATGCATATAGCACCTATATCCTACCAATGTCCGTTCCCAGTATCACCTCGTAGCTCTGGGCAAGAGGAGGGCCCTTCTGAAATCTCAGCTGACACATCTGCTCTGCAAGCTTGCTTTCCTGGGAAGGAGCCTTGATCTTGCTTTTTTATGTGTTTACAGGGACATTTCAGATGTCCTCCAACACATCCTACACAGCTCCGTGAGGGCCTACTAAGCTTATTCAGTAACTATGGATCTACCAGTAAATGAGTTTGAAGGTCAGGAAAAGACATCATGAATTCAATTGTTTGTGGCTCCCCGATGGCCTGATCATACTTTAAATTCATGTGTCCCCATTACATGTCGTGTGTGACACTCCGTGGAGACTTTGTCAGAAGCAGGAGCAGGGGTGGTGACGATGAGAAAGACAAGAGGATGGGATCCTGAGCAGCACGGCAGCCTGGCAGTGAAAGGCCCAGCTGGGCCCCAGCTCTGCAGGCAGAGTGTCTCATCTGTGGCTTTGGGTTGGGTTATGTGCACCTTTCAGAAAGTTTGTTTCTTAGGGCTTATGATGTTGTGACAGAAAGCAGTCCATTCCTACAACTGCCACACATGAGCACATGGTAGACACTAAAAATGATTACTAGATAGATGGATAATTTAATATTTTTAGGAATTTTTAAAATGCATACATTGGTCCTATTTTATTCTGATGATTTAAACATGGGAGCTTTTCTATGTGGGATAAGAGATTTTTCTAAACCTGTGATCCTTCCTTATTCTGTTACCTCCCCTGACTGGTTTAGGGTGACACCCTCTGGAACCCTTTCCAGAGAGTGTGGACTGGCTGTTTGGAAGCAGGGCCACACAGGCTGTTCTCATCATTCCATTCCTTTTGCAGTTTACGGCTTCATCTGTTTTTCTTTTTTCAACCTAAGATGCTCATGCTTCTTTATTTGTGGCTAATTATGCCAAATTAAGTTTTTTTTTTTTCTTCTACTAGATTCTCGGAATTGTCCCAAGTTTGAGGAGAAAAAAATTGATTATTCCCATTTCTTTCTGGTGCTCCCTGAGCCCTGCACTTGAATACAATGAGGTCACTTTGTCGAAGGATTAACTTTATATTACATTCTTGCAAAGTAGATGTATGTCCCTAAGGTACGACTACCCCCACTGATGAAATAAATATACCATTCTTTATGATTCCTCCCCGTTACCCTCTCTGTTGATTTTCAGAGAGTTTATGAATAGTCACATATTTATACAACTGGCCAAAAGTATACTACTTATTTTTCTTATGGTCTGTAATAACCTATGCAAGGTTATTAAAGGGTATACAGACCCCTTTTAAAACATAGTTTCTTATGTCATTACTTTATACAAGCAGGTCAAATTCCATCTCACCAACAATCTCTTGCTCTTAACTTTTTTCTCTGATTATAAAAATAATGTACTTGCATTGTGGAAAATTTAGAAAATGCACAGCGCAGAGGAGGAAGAAAAGCACTTTAAGACCCACCACTTGGAAACAACTACTGTTTGGCAATTTATACACAGACACATTTCCTTTGTTCTACATATGTTTGTTTAAATAAAGCAACCATATTTTACATATGCTCCTGTAATCTTCTTTTTAACCTAGCAATATATTATGTCAGTAAATACTTTTTTTTCTATGACATTGCTTTTGAGGACTACATCATACTCTATTCCATAGGAATGCCATAATTTAGCCATCCCCTTTCCCAGATATTTCATTTGACTTTTTTTTAAAGTGGGGGTTAAGTAACAATCTTTATAAGATGTCCCCTACCCCATTCAGTAATCATTTTCATTTTTCCCCTAGTCAATGCAATCAGAGAAATCCTCAGTTTCCTTTGAATTTAGCACAGTTAGCTTTGTCTACAGCACTGGACAATCCCACTGTAATATTCAATATTTATTTTGAGGGCAGCTTAACATATTTAAAAATATGAGCAGAGAACAAATCATAAAGGCATGGGAAATAAATTAAAAGCCTTTGCAGTACTATTTTAAATATTTCCCTCCTCATAGTATACTTCCATAGAGTAGATGCTTATTTTTCTTTGAATAATGAGTTTAATATGTCTAATTCAATTACTCTTTTGCGGCAGCGGAATGACTTCTCCTCAGCTCTTAAGCTATTAGTTCCATATGATGTTTGAATTAGTTCTTTTAATTGCTGATATTAAATGTTGGCCATTCTATTGTGAGTTGGCCACATAGCCAGAAAAACACATCCTCCCCCCAACACATCAGACAGTCATTCAATTAACAACCATGGGTTTCCACACACAAGAGGAATTCATTTATGCAAATGTTAAAGGGTTGGGTCAGCAATTCAAATTTTATTGGTGGCTTAGACTGAAAAGTAAAACCAAGAATTAGCATTTTCAGAATGCTGAATTATGTTTTCAGATATTTAAATGATACATTTAATTGTCTATATTTATGGTTAAACTTTTTTGTTGGCAATTAGCATTATGGGTGGGGGTTGGATATGATAAATAACTTAAACCTCAGTGCTCATTCCTGTCTCTCTTATGCATTTCTTGATTAAATACCGTGGATTTTATGAGTAACAGCTTTTCCCTGCATAAAGAATTCTATGGCTTTTTCTCTACAAGTCTAATTTGAAAAAAGAATTCTTCTCAAGGGTTTAGAAAGTAATTCATAAAATGGGAGGAATAATAAATATTGTGCCTTAACTCATATACTCGTATAGATAGAGAGATTTGGTACACCTGGGTATAATTTTAGTTAATTTCCACAAGAGACAGGTTGAAAGTTTACTGTTTGGAAAGCTGGGAGGGTTGGCTAAATCTCATATTTGCAAAAATGATTGCATTATCTTAAATGAAAATGCTACTCTATTAATGACTTCAATAAGCATTACATTTGGGGGAAAATCTTTTAAATAAAAAGTTACCTGAAGTTCATTCTAACTTAAAATATACAAGTGAGGAAAAAGTACTTACTCTGATTTATGTGTCTTTTGGAGGTGTAATTATTGGCTTTTTACTCACCTATGTAAAACAATGTACTTTTGTAAATGGATTTCTGGCCACTTTATGCAGCCTTTTTTCCCCCCTCTTTTTTTTCTTACATAAAAAGTAAGCACTGTCAATCAAGGAATTTTAAGGTTTATTTCCTCTTTAGAAATGATTGATAGCCTTTTAGATTTACAAGTTGACAAGTTAAAGGGTTCTATTGGTATAATTATGTACTAAATTCACAGTCTTTCAATTTAAATGTCCTTTTAAAACCACAAGATTATCATACCTGTATTTTGAAAAGTGGGCCAGTCAGTTTGGGTTGGTATACAAATTGCTTCCATTAGCCTTGGGACCTATTTGAATTTAATACAGTTTTTTAAAGTTAGTACTAGTATGAATCTTACTTTTAAAATTTAGGTTAATGGAAATGCATTTTAAGTAAAGCATGTGGCAACTTGTTTTCTAATGTATAGCTAACTGTCAGAACTACAAAGACTGTCTTTTTATTCCGTATGGGAGAAAATGTGTGGCTGAATACTTTAGCTATGCTAAAAAAGAAAAGAAAAGAAATTTTCAAAAACACCCACCCACCCATTACTTGGGATACTGGGGATATGGTAGAAGATGGAGCTGCCATCTTTTCCATCTTTTCACATAAGAAAGGCTAAAGATATTTTCTATCCCAGGGAGGAACTTTGAAAATGATAGACCAGAGTCCACTTTTATTGTGTTTAATTGAAGGGTTCTTTGAAGAGAGTCAACATGGGCACAATAAGGCCCATTGGCTCCAAATATTATGGGTTTGCTCTTCTTTTAGTCTTTTTAAGAATTATTCCTGGAGACTCAGCTACTCTAAAATAGTACTCCACAGAGGTTGGTCTTTTTATTGAAATAATATCAATATTGATGAATGGATCTAGCATTTTAGAAGTGAGGGTTTTGCATCGAGGGCATTTTCAGTACCTATCTCTTTTGCACACTCTGTCAAGGGTGGTACAGGCTTTCCACACCTAGAGGATCCTCCCCACCCACTCTCCTCTGCCCTTATCATCCTGTTGCATGCTTAATTGCACAGAAGGTGCTGAGATATTTATTATATCAGCTGAGGTCCATTAGGGTTCAGCAGGTCCATTGCCATTAGGCAGGTACTTTTAATTCTCTTGCTGTTTGCAGAGTATAGACCCTTGAGTTTTGTTTGTTTGTTTGTTTGTTTGTTTTTTTACCTGAGCCATTGAACTAATACTAAAACCTCACATCAAATACCAATTTACTTTCTATTCATGATGATGTAAGGAATATAGAATTTGGCCAGAGGAGCGGCGTTCAAGGCCTGTTCCTACTGTTCTTTTGGGTGAGTCATTCCTCACTGTGGTTAAATAGCAGAAGTAGATGGTGACAATGTTCAGCAAAGAGATTATTCATACCATCATTTTATGATCTAATTCAAAAGTATCAATGAAATGTTGGACTTTCCAGTTATTTCCACTCTGTCAGTATTGCAAATCATGTTCTGCTTTATTTCCTGAAAGTGTTCTAATTGCGTGACTTCTTCATTGCAGCGCTCAACGAACCCACCATCGATTACGGTTTCCAGAGGTTACAGAAGGTCATTCCCCGGCACCCTGGCGACCCTGAGCGTTTGCCAAAGGTCAGGATACCTGCTTTTTTGGGTTATGGTCTCTGGAAACTTGGACTTGAGTGACTCGCATAAAACTCTGTATCAGTTAAAAATGCGTTCATAGATCAGCAACTCATATTTTTGTGCCTTGTGTGTTTGGGGCTATAAGATAAGTAACAATCAAAGTAGAGAGTACTTATGTGCTAGGCAATGCTGTGCTTATTTTTACATGTATTATGTCATTTTATCCTCTCAACAACCCTCTGAGGTTGGTACTATCACCACTCCTGTTTCAAAGAAGAAAATAATGAAGCAAAGAGAGATTAAATAATTTGCCCAAGGGCACACAGCGTGTAAATTGCTAAATTGAGATTCACACCTCTACAGCTCTGGCTCCAGAGGCTGGGCTATGTAATCACTACATTGTCAATTCTCAAAAGGAAAAGGAACACCAAATTTCCACCTACTTGAGGATCTAGACTTATCCCCAATGAGGGGAGAACAGTTAAAGCTCAAAAGAAAACATGTTGGTTGATCTTGAAACTGGGAAGAGAGTGCAGGCTCTCTTTCCTCCTGAGGCATCCTACCCATTTGGAAAATAAGGCACACATATGTGAAAACTTAAACAAAAATTCAAGACAGAGTAATATATGGCATACCACAATATGTCCCTCCGGAGAGAAGGAAACTGACTGATATTGATGACCGTGTACTTGTGAAAGTTGGGGATCTTCCCAGCTCTGCACCTGAGGAATTTGGGCTCTGTATGGGAGAGATTGCCAAATACAAGGAATTGTGACCAATATGAATAGGACATTGAACAAACATGCAATGACCGTTGTGTGGGGACCCAGAGGAGAGAAGTTACATGTTAAAGATGTTCAAAGTACAGAATTAGTTGCATTACCATGCATCGCTTGCTGACAGCAAAATGAAATTTCATTTGCTACACAAGTGAGACTATTAAATTAAATGGTAGTTTTGAGGTCCTTTTCCTTGCCACCATAAGCCTAGAGAGATGTCATTTCTAGATCTACACTATTCTTGTAAAACACTTAGAAAATTGAAGTCGCCATCCTTCCTAGCTCAGTGAACCCGCTGCCTGCATTGTAGGCAGATTCACCTGTTAGAACATCACTTGGCCAGGAGAGAGCTGCCCCTCAGGCTGACGCACAGATGTGCGGGACAGGTCAGGGCACCACTGCCTCAGAGAAGGTCTGTGATGAGCACAGGCATCTGCCCTCTACCTTGACCTCGGGGGACAAGGATCCCCTCGGCCTTCAGTCTCAGCCTTCCGCTTCCCAGAACTGCAGTGCTGCTGTCCCCTTGGTAAAAAACTTCCTGAGAGCATTTCACCTGAGGAAGGTATCCTAGGATGCATTATTAGTATGTCCATTCACATCCTTATCTTCGAAAGGGGCCTCCATCTTGCAGGTCTTTCCCTCTTCCCTTCCACCCTGACTTAGATTAAATAATCTAACTATAATAATGGACAGCAGTCCCCTTTTGCAGCATGGATGTTTTGGGGAGAGATTTGCCATTAGGTTCCTCTGCCTACCAAAAATGTAGCGACTGAGCATTTTCTGTGGGACAGACTGGTACTTCTATAGCATAATGATATAAATGATGCGTGTCTAACGGGCAGTGCCTTAGCTGTCTTAGTGGTGGAACAAAGGCCTGGGTACAATGCCAGATTCCTCCCATTTGGGAACCATCTTCACTTTCTTTTTAGCATTAGCTTTAGCATTTGATCTCTAGGGTCCCCTGGATGTGTTTTAGGAGAGTCTTAGATTGGACTCAAGAGACTGGCCACTTAGCTGTGCAACGTAAGTCAAAATACTTTACCTCTCCGTGCCTCGGTTTTCTTATCTGTCAGATGGGGATGGTGATATTTCCTACCTTGTCAGGTTGATATTTTAAACACTTACTTAGCACTCAACAAAAAGGTAGCTATGATTATTTGCTGGTTCAGTGAGAATGGGATTCTTGCTTCTGAGAGCTCTTCCGTCCAGTCTGCAGAATAGGGAATCCTAATCCTGGTGAGCAGCTGGGTATGTGATTTATCTTCTGTGCCTCTGTTTCTTCATCTACAAAATGGGGATAATACCCATGCCAATTTCACAGGGATCACGTAAGGATAAGGAGAAGCAATACCACAGGTGCGCTTGGCATAGCATCTGGCCGATAGCTGCCTCTCTAAAGATATTTATTGAAAAATAGAAGACAAATCTGTTTTAATGGTTGGGATCTAAGGAAGCCAGGCAGTACTTTTCTTATTTGTAAGGAAAGGAGAGAAATGGAATCTAGGGTTGAGTTTTGTGTACTTACTTTTGAAAACATTTTTATGGTTGCACGTTATGTTCAGAAATGTTGAACAAATAGCATAGGCACGTGTCAGTTTTGTCCCTGGTGGCCTGGTGGTGAAATTCCCAGCCCTTTTCTCCTGGGTTTGGGAAGAGTAATCAAGGACACAATGGGTTTGTGTGTTAAGGAAACACTCCGAAGCTTGCCTCTAGCCACTTGACCATGCAGGGCCTGGCCCCAGCCCACCCCAGGAAGCTCTCAGCGTGACTCAGAGCTGAGCGGCTGTCCTCTTGGCTTTGAATGTTAAGGTGGAGTTAGAGTTCAAGGGCAGGGCCAGGAAGTGGCGGATGGAGCCAGCACAAGGTATTCCTGTGGACTTGGGAGATTTATACTTCTGCTATCCATTGTTAGGGGGATACAAATGGGCTCCGCCTTTCTTAGAATCATGGTCAGTATTTGTCAAACAGGAGTGTTTCAGTGAGCTGTGGACCACACACCTTAAAAAACAAACTCCACTTTATTAAACCCATGTGTTTGTGAATAGACAAAGCTAGATTCATACAACCACCCACATATTCTGTCAAATGAAACTGTTCCAAAGACCGAGCAGACAGCTTTCCATAATAATATGCCTTTGTATACAGGCTTGTGTTTTTTCAAAAAACTTGGATATGCTTTGTTTTATTGGAGCCCCTCTTGTGAGAGAAGTTGGGGAGGCAGGCATCATTCCCAGTTACCAAAGGGGAAAACAGGAGCAAGCAGAATCCTCTTCTGCACATTATTTTGTCCCTGAAAATCACCATCAGTGATAGTTGCTGTACACACAAATTTAAAATACTATAATTATGCTAACCCCAGATGTTTTTTGGTTTCCTTTTTCATATGCACACAAAGAAAGGCAGGCTAAAGTTTAGAAATCACAGCATTCTGTCGTTTCATACAGTTTTGCCTTCCTGTCTGGATCCTGGCAGGAATGGGGGAAACACAGGACCAACTTTTGGTATCAAGATTGACTTTTCTTATAATTTAGGGGTAGGGAGGATCAGATATTCTGAGACGTTGATGGCTGCAGTGATGTAGTCCAGAGACATTGAGCAAGGAGCTCTGTCTCTCTGTTGTGGAGGTCAAAGGTGTCTCCTCCCCCCTTTCAACTGGTTCCTTGTCTTCAGGAGAGGCCAGTAGCCCTAGCCCAGAGGCAGTGAGAGCAGAGCCTACTCCGGTGGCCATGAACCCTGGAAAACAGGGGACTGTTTGCCTTGTGCCCGCTGTGAGCCCGGCACTGCATTATGAAGGTTTTTAAGAAGGTGGAGACCAAGAGAGTGAGCTCTCAAGTCAGACAGATGTGGATTTTGGAAACTGGATCCACTACTTGGTGCACACGACTCAATTTCCCAAGCCTCGGGCTTCTCCTTTGTAAAGCAGTCGCCCCAAAGCATCCTTGATAGGCGTTAATGAGATAATTTATGCAAAAAGGTATCCCAGGCCTGTAGCTTGACTCCAGTAAATAGAGGCTGGTAATCCCTGCACGGTGGGTGTTCCCCATTTCAGATGAGGAGTCAGAGCCCCCAGAGTTCTGGTGACTCGCTGCGACGTCACAGCTGGCAATGGGAGAACTAAGATTCAAACCCATGTCCTTGGGCTCAGAAGCCACTGTTTCCACCACATCGAGTTCCGACTTTTCCTTCAGGTCTGAACACCCAGACAATTCCGCCTTGAGACTGTCGGCTTCTCTGTCCCCACCCATGCCGACACCTGGCCCCGCCCTCCGCAGACTCTCACCAGCTTTCTCTCTTTCCCCCACCGGGAGGGGCCGGCATGGAGACCTTCTCGGGGAACACGTGTTTCTCCTCCAGCCCCTCTTTTAGAGAAAATAAAGCAGTTTGAGAAAAGTAACAAAGGCTGCATTTGTGTATTTTGCTTTATGGAGCTGAAAATATCTGGTAAATTGATCCAGTGGGAGTAATAAATACACATTACTTTATCTTGTTCTTCATGTCCTATACCCCTGAGCCTTGATAGAACAACACCACTTAATAGACTTAAAAAAGAGTAATTACACTCATTGGTTGTGTGATTTTTCAGCCCTCCCAGCCCTGCCTGACCTTCTAATTTAGCTCACCGCGTCTAACTAATGCATTTATATTCATCTTTTATGAAGCATGTATAGTACAGAATTGACTTTAGAGCCTTTTTCAAGCTGTCCTCCCAGGTTTCCAATCTGGTTAGTAGTGAGGAGAAGAGGAGCTATCAATCTCTATACGTCCGCACATATAGACAGCACATATACATGGCACAAAGCATTTTTTTTATCCTTTATGAAACATAATAAAAAGTATTTATTACATTTTTACTTTAAAGCTTTTATACATTCTAGCATTATTTACAGCTAAACACGCAGGCAAAAGATGCGAGTGTTTTAAAAATGATTACTGTTAATGTTTCTGCTTGTCAGAAGTGCTTAAATTTTCCTGCACTTTGTCTAAAAACTTAGTACTGTTGCCTTTTAAGAACAACACATTTAAAAGATCTTGCAAGTCAGATTTGCAAACACCGCTGACAGTGTGTGATGAATGATATTGCAAAATTTGCAATATGTTTGTCATTTCACACAGCCTACATATTAAGGAACGGATTAAGAAACTCGAAACCCCTATGGAAAACAACCATCCCAAACAAACCTCAGCCAAACCCTGAACCCAGAAAGCAAACCAGAATCTCTCACCCAG